ATTTCGCAAGATGACGTATCAGTCATTAGCTCTAATAATATTGGGCTTGATCAAGAAGAACCAACGGAAAGTACGGAGACTAGTGTTGATGATTCAGAATTAGCTAAACTGTCTGAAAATAAAGGATCCGATCTCGCTATGGACGAGATGCCTGCAGAACCACAGACAACACCTGAAACGGCTCCGGATCAAACCTCAGCTCCAGACCCAAACGCCAATTTAGAAGGCGATCAACCAAACACAAAAGTATTGCCAATCGAAGCCAAATTACTACAACGAAATCGCCCTCGTAAATCCTCCTTGTCGCCCAAAGTAGACCTGAAGATAATCGTCCCGCCCCGAGAAACAACAGTGCGCAGAAAACCTGTACAAGATAAACCATCGCATCCTACTCGTGGTAGATTTAATACATTAAGAAAAGATCTCTACTTAGTATTTCGGTTTTTTTGTAGACTATCTATGCGTACAGACACTGGTGGTAATATACAAATGGAGGAAATCAGTATCCGAGGACGTGCCCTCGTCTTGGAGCTTATTCTTTCGATGTTGGACAATTCGGGCCCTGTATTTCAAGTTGAGGATGCATATATATCCCTCATTCGTCAAGCATTATGCGTTTCACTATCGCAAAACGGCGTATCGTCTAATGAGCAGTTATTCGAACTCTCACTTTCTATCTTTTTAATGCTCTTTCGACTCTATCGAGCGCCACTTAAAAAAGAACTGGAGGTACTATTTGCTGAAATCTATTTGCGATTTCTTGATATGTCTAATGCGACGTATAAACAGAAGCAGATGGTCTTGCAGGGTTTAATGAAAATATGTTCTAATCCTCAATCTTTGGTTGACGTGTACTTAAATTATGATTGCGACTTATCAATGACCAGCGTATTTGAGAAGACAGTGAATACACTAAGTCGGGTTGCTCAGGGAAGATCGAAGAATGTAAGTGGATCAGCTATGGGAAGTATAATTGGCGCTCATGCTTCTGGACTGTTGTTAGATAATAAAGCTGATTTGGTTGCGTTACAAGAAAAGAAACTTAAAGTGCGTGGTTTGAAATGTTTAGTAACTATAGTAAGATCGCTGGTTGAATGGTGTAAGGATTTGGATAATAAAGAAACCGGAATTAGTCAGCCAGAGAAGGCAAAGCCACCGGAAACTGCTGAGGACAAAACTACCATTATTTTCTCAAAAAATCCTCTTCTCAATATATCCATGAAGGAATTTTCAACAGCTCACGGCAATAATAGTAATATTAGCATTGGGCTATCTGACTCGGAGGATAATCCTGCTCAATATCAAGAGATAATGACGCGTAAACAAACTCTCCAGACTGGTATTAGACTGTTCAATACGAAACCACAGAAGGGAATAGACTTTTTTATTAACCATGACTTTCTCAAGAATGATACCCAGAGCATAGTATCGTTCTTTGCTTCTACTCCAGGGCTCAGTAAGGCAGCAATTGGTGAATATCTTGGCGAAAGCGATCCTGAGGCTATAAAGATCATGTATGCATTTGTGGATTCGTTAGATTTCAAAGGTCTTCAGTTTGTGGATGCGTTGCGTACATTTCTTCAGACTTTTCGCTTACCTGGCGAATCGCAAAAAATTGACCGTATTATGGAAAAGTTTGCGGATAGGTATTGCGAAAATAATCCTGACGTATTTGCAAACGCAGATACAGCTTATATACTAGCATATTCGATAATAATGTTGAATACAGATCAGCACTCTGTTCAAGTAAAGCGGCGAATGGATAAATCCGAATTTATAAAGAATAATAGAGGAATCAATAATAATAATGATCTGCCGGATGAATTTCTAGGGGCTATTTTTGACGATATAGCTGTTAATGAGATTGTTATGGAAGAAGAGCAAATATCGGAAGTGGCAAAAACAGCGATTAACATTGCCAATGAGAGAGAAAGGCAGCAAATGTATGACAAGGAAATATCACAAATGCAAAAGAAGAGTCAGGCATTGCTTTCTAGTAGCAGACAAGATCAGAAGGCTTCAATATGGCGGAGTGCTACTCACTCGGATCATGTTAAGCCCATGTTTGTTGTTGCATGCTGGCCATTGATGGCTACTCTTAGCGTTGTATTTGAAGAGTCTGAGAACATATCGACAACAGCTAGCAAAGGAAATGAATTTGCACAAGCTAATTCAGAAGCTATCGAATTATGTTTGGACGGATTTATGGGCGCTATACGAATCAGTAGTGTATTTCGCATGGATGTCGAGAGAGATGCATTTGTGTCTTCACTCGCTAAATTGACTGGACTCAATCATGTGGATGAGATGAGATCTAAAAATGTGGCTGCAATTCGTACCCTATTATCTGCTGCAAACGCATATGGTGAAGGTCTGCAAACGTCTTGGTTGATTGTATTAAAGACCATATCTGCGATGGAGAGATATCAGCTTATAAACAGCTCAGGTTCGGTGACATACAGTGCAGAGGACGCAAGCGGACTAGATTACTCGCCACAGAATCAGTCAACAACGGGTGTAATTAATAATCATTCCAGTGCGTCTGCTGCTGTTCGTAATATCACGCGACGCGGTTCATTGGGAGGTCTTATGAGAGAGTTCCAATCACAGAGTACAATTATAGCAATCGACAGAATATTCACTAGTAGCGTTAAACTAAGCAGTGATGCTATTGTACACTTTGTTAATGCTCTTTGTACTGTGTCGCTGGAAGAGGTTGACGCGTCAAGAACTGCCCCAAGAATGTACAGTTTACAGAGGATAGTAGAAATAGCGTATTATAACATGTCACGTATACGATTCGAGTGGACTCAGATATGGAAGATATTACAGCCACATTTCAATACTGTCGGATGCCATCCGAATAATATTGTTGCTACGTTTGCCATAGATTCACTTCGACAACTAAGCATGAAATTTCTCGAAAGAGACGAGTTGTCTCATTACAATACTCAAAGCGAATTCATGAAACCATTTGAGCATATCATAAGAAACAATTCATCCCCTGCAATACGAGAGTTAATCATTCACTCACTCATACAAATGATATCAGCAAGAGCGAAGAATATCAAGTCCGGATGGAAGAGCATATTTATAGTTTTTGGTCGTGCCGCCGGTGATGAGAATCCGCAGCTGGTCGATAATGCATTTGGTACAGTGAGATTAGTGTATCAGAAACATTTGGATTTGATTGGGTTATCATTTGGGGAATTTGTCAATTGCCTGGTTGAATTTGCGTTCAATGCTAAAGTGGAAGAGATAATAAACGAATCCATTAGAATGATGCAAGGATGTGTAAAATTATTAGTAAAGGATATAGAAGAAGGCGACAAGAAGAATCAGAATATATCTTCTACATTCGCGGCATCATCACCAACGACCACATCAGTAACTAAGAAGAGACTCCAGCACATAGAAGAAGAACAATTTTTCTTCAAATGGTTCCCTATAGTGTCTGGTCTATCTCGACTAGTCATTGATCATGATTCTCAGGTCGTAAGAACAAAGGCACTTGATGCACTATTCGACATTTTAAGAAACACTGGCTACCTGTTTGAAACTTCGTATTGGAGTAAAATATTAAAGAATGTCATCATCCCCATATTCGAAGATATCAAAGAATCAACACAATTACAATTACCCACAACAGGCGATTTTCAGCGTAGAGAAGCGACCACTGAAATATGGATACAAACAATACGCCTAATGGTAGATTTGTATACACGTTTTCATGATCTATTCAAAGATAATTCTGAATATCTGCTTGAGCTGTTAGAGCTATTCGTAGCCCTGCTCAAAAGGAAAAACGAGAAATTGGGACAAACCGGGATACGGTGTTTCCACAACTTGATAGCTAGAAATGGTTCACGATTCGATAGTTCGACTTGGGGGGCAGTGACTGATACTCTAGAACAGATTTTCACAGCAACAACGCCAAAGGAATTGCTCGAACTTGAAATAACGGGTGTCCATGAGAATACGGACGCGAAACACACTAGTCAAGTAATCGTGGGAGCATCTAATCCAGTGCCAGATGATATAACAGACACTGGTGCAGGGGTCGGTGGAACTAGCCGCCGCAACCAGCATAATCCGCCCGCAACTCCTGGAAAGGTGGATGTTGACTTTCCAAATGCTATCATCAAGTGTGCAGCTCAACTCATTATTATTCAATCAGTGAAAGACTTGGCGTTAACACATACAGTGGCGACGCCATCGAGTAAGGATGAAATGCATTATCTAGCCCAGATGCCAGCCGAATATCGTAATCGTTGGTTAAGATGCCTATATAATTCATATCAGTTTGCTCACGACTTTAATGCCAACCACGAACTGCGTCATGCCCTATTCAAGTCAGGTTATGTACAACAAATGCCGAATCTGACGAAACAGGAAACTCTATCTCTTTCAGTTTTCCTATCTATTCTCTACGATTTGTATCGTACGCTTGGCGACGATGATTCCGATCTGCTTCCTCCATTAATTGAAGAATCAACCAAAGTTCTTGAACGATTCATAACACTATTGTCGGCCGACATGATGCAGAACCAACAGCGTGATATTAATAATTGGTCTCCATTGGTTATTACAGTACTCCGTGAACTATGTGCCACACCGTGGGAGGAATCCCGCGGAGTAGTGCGTGATGAATTTGGAGAGATACAAGAAAGAAGCGGAGAGGACGAAGATATGGAAAAGTTTGAAGAAGCGAAGAGAAGAGCGACTAGGTGGATTGGGCTACGGAAGCATGTGCCTGAATTCTACAGATTGAGCTTGAAAATGATTGGCGTAGACAGGGCAGACGTTAGAGAGTACATGCAAGAATTTCTAGAGAAAATAGGAAATGAGTTTTTAAATCCAGACCGGTGGGACGTATAGAGATAGAGTAGAGCGGAGAAAATAATATCTAAACGTTATTAATCAGTAATAGAAATTATGTGATGCTATGGCGCTGTAGATTACTAGTATTTATTTACGGTGACAATGTTTAAAATTAATACGATATCATTACTAATAATTCAACATTGTTCTAATGCGATCAAAATACGATTTTCCTTGTTACTTTTAACCATTCACGTTAGTCACACTTTCTCCATGTATTTTGTCTCCGCTGTAAACTCGCAATTGACTTTCTCCTCCGCTGACTATGATGCCATTATTCCAATCTACACAGAATAACTTTTCGTTACTATCCCTTTGGCTGAGTGTATATAATGGAGTTTTGCTTCGTATGTCCCATATCTTCAGTGTACCATCGTACGACGCAGATGCTAGTATGTATGCTGAGATAGGTGACCACGTGAGTGATGATACCCAATTTTGGTGTGACGATAGGGTAATTTTTGTTAGATTTATGTCTGCAAAAAGAATAAGAAATTAAAGATGAACTGGTATTAGCGCCTTCCATGGGAATGCAAATAATGAGACATAGTTTATAGCAATAAAGTAATTGACATTTTCTGTATCTTGTGAACTATATTATATGATCATCTATTACTACACGTGAATCGAAATTCTCCTTCAAAAGTAATCACTTGCCTTGTGACCTGAAATCCCATAATCTAATCGATTTATCGCTGTGGCCCGTAGCGACTAGTTTTGATTTACCGGAATATGCTATGCATAGAATGACCTTATCCGAGTTCTAAAATTGACAGTATATCGCAATCAGACATTTGTTTAGCAATTGAGCTAGTCACCCGACTTTTTACTCACCTTGGTATCCACATTAACTCGTGATTCAATGTCCCACATTCTTACAGAATAATCCCATCCACCACTGTATAATCTCTTAGACCCATATTCATCATCATATACGACTGCCTGTACTGGACCTATGTGTCCGAGCAGAGTTGCTTCTGCTTTCTAAATAAATAAATAGATATATGTCTTAGTGGATATGACATCTGACATACGATACGGAGTGACATTAATTGCTGTAATATTCAATTATGGTTACTCACTCTGACATAGATCGGGCGAATTTCATGCTTCTTCCTTGATGTGTGACTGGTTTCTGTTGTTACCAATTCGTCCTCATTTGATGGAAGTGTATTCCACAGATTTATTGTTGAATCCATTGATGCTGATGCAACCTACGGAAGGCTAACATTAAGATAAATTTCCACTAATATTAGACAACATACCGCGTACACACCTGAGAACCATGCGCATCGAATCTAACACATTCCACGCTATTTTTATGTCCTCTGCATTCGTACATCAGTCCGCCACCCCCCTCTTCTAATGTCTATGACACACGTAATAAATCGCAACATTTAGCAAGTAGCTACAGTAGAAATCCATTTAGAATTTTTAAACACTCACCGACCATGCGCGAACTGTCCGATCCTGTGACGCAGACACACAGATAGTGTGTTCGCCTTGTACACAATACAAGTCGATACTCTTTACTGGTGCATCATGTCCGCTGAACGTCCGTTCGCATTCACCAAATGTATTCCATATTCTGATCTTGTTATCATATGAGCCAGTGACTATCATGCTGGTATTAGCGTTGATGTTGACAACAACGGCCATGCGGAGATATAATAGATTATTATTATTATTCTTATTATTATTATTATTATTATTATTAGTAGAGACAAGGATCACTGCTACTAGGGATTAATTACGATAAATACCAACCTTTGGTCGATTTTCACTGAACTTATCCAGTCATCATGTTGAAATGCAGACAACTCTCGTGGTGGAAGGATCGATTCTACATACTCGATAGTAAGGGTTGTTTCCTGCAAAGCATTTTGCACGTGACGTTATTAATCCGTCTTATGACTGCACACGGAGGAACGCGTCCATACAACACATGGTTTGATTAGGCAAACAAAATGTTTACATATATAATAGATCACATTCAATGTTTGTATGCCAACCCTCATTTACATCATACCGTGGATAGGCCAGCATTTTTTAGATACTCATCAAGACTGCATCTTAGAAACTCGCCATTTATCATAAAATCAAACGGAATCGGCTTTTCTGTAATGTTGGATCAAATAAAACCTATGAATACCCAATACACGCTACTATATATCATAATGATTTGATTACCTGTATCCAGCAAATGATTGATGATTTCTGATAATCCATAACGACGTAAGTTTGTAGGAACAAGTATCGCAGAATCTGTCACTATATATTGTCTCTGTTTTGTTGTAAATCTAACTTGTATTTGAGGGTGAACTAGCGCCATATTAGACACGAGTTCTTGAATATTTGGTTCTTATGCAATTTTTTTCGATCTGCAGATCGGCACGGGACTGTCCATCACATTCAGCATATTACAGTATTAATATGTCGAAACTAGAGATTACCGTGAACGCTAGTCCAACATTTCCAATCGTAAGTTTATTCTTCAATTCTATAGGTATTATTCAGTTGTTCCAACGTTGGATTGCCTCGATGGTCTTTTGTTCTTCGAAGATAAAAGTTTCGTATTGTGGGAGCAGCAATGACCTTTTCTTCGCCAAGTAAATTTACCTATTTATCCAGAAGGCGCTGGGGAGAATAAAGAGTTAACTTGGTTTTTCACTCGAAAGCCCAATACTAAGATAGTAATTCAAACCATTGTCAATTATTCACTGGAAATCCTTCTGAGAAAGAAAAGAGAGTGAAATGGAAGGTAAAACTGACTCTAACAATAATAAAAAATATTAGACAGATGTGTTTATGGTGATGGTACTAACTTTACCAAGAAAATATCTGTATGAAAGAGGCTGGACTGAGCTATTCTTATGTTCAATGACAAGATAAAAAATATGTTCCTTCTGCTTGAGTTGCTGGAGGAGTAATTCTTCTTTTAGCTAGTCTAGCTTGAGCAATTTGAAAAAGAAAACTCCTCCGCTGAACTAGATGAGGATGAAGAGGATCAATGATTTGATTGTTTATTCTGTCAATCTTCTGTCTTTTCTGGTTCATCATAAGTTGGTTGTGATGTTTGTTTATTATTTATTATTTTTCGTTCTTGTTGGTAAATTTCATAATAATAAGTGATTTCTTTATCTAGGTATTCCTGGGGAGTTTGAGTATTATTGATTTTAAAAACATAGAGTGCAAATTTTAAATACTTCCAATGGTGCTGTAATTCTTGGATATCATAGTGGATTTATATTTAATGTAAATTAATTTTAATATTTTTCTTATGTAGGGATAACCCAATACTAATTATAATCTTAATACTAATCTTGTTATGGTTTATATTCATCACATTCTGGTATGATAAAGTGAACATTAAAATTAACAAGTCCATAAGTTATGGATGAGCACCGTTATTACTTTTCAAAACGTTGTCAGTATACTAGTCAATTTTACGGCCGTATCATAAAATCAGCCCTCATTTACATCACATAACAAAATGTTCACTTTTTCTGGTTTTGCCCCATATTAATATATTTGGATAACATGTAATATAAACAAAATATGATACACGCACGTAAATACAGTTACATGAACACTTAACGGCAAGTTGATAAACATACTTTAAACGAGTCATAGTGTTGAACTTCGTTTATCGATCACAGTATTCAACGATATTAATATGTGATCATCTATTTTAGACTGCCGAATTTAACAATTAATTCAACATTGAATACTTCATGGCTTACAAAGTTATGCTATTGAATAATCCTTAATTGAAAAATGTATTAATTATAAAATTAGACGCGTGGTCACCTTTGGGATACGGAAACTTTGACATGGTTTCGAAAAGGGCCTCTAATAATCAACTGTTTTGTTGAATTCGAGAATTTTGGTTCCAGTTGAAAGCTTTTTTTTCTGGCATAGAACCTTTATACACGCAGATACGCGTTCTTAATTGTGCCGAGCTTTTAGTAAAGATTTGCCAAATTGTTTAGTATTAGACAGCACGTGTCTCAAATCTAAGTGTAGATAATTTAAAACTGGGCTTTGATATTTTAATTTAGCGAGCGCCCTTGTTTAAAAGTTCTTCGTAATAGTTATTTCTTCCATTTATTTGGGGAGCGCATTAATTTTAAACGTGCTTTAATTGTAATTGAGTAGTTACGACTTGCACGAGCGTGATCGGGCCGATATATTCACGATCTTGTATTATGTCAAAGTAACATCAAGAACATGCGACAAGAAGAATATATAGAAAGCCTATCCGATTGATAAGAACTGTCCAAACGCACTTCAATTTTACAATTATGTTTGATCAAGTATTAAAGAAGGGCAGAGTTGATGTTAAGACAAGTCATCTGTTGTCAATTTCGTTTTACTTTTTCTTTTTAACAGTCGGCCTGTCGATTTTCTCTTTGTTAGGCCAGACCCTTTTCCAAAGTGTAATTCTCCCTGGGACAGTGGTAGTAGTTGCATGAGGCTGTGGCTCAGTTTCTGGCCGAACAGGCCATTTCCCAGCTAATTTTGCCTTCAATTCGTTTCTCAGACGGACACCAAACATTCCTAATTCTTTGTCTTTAGTATTTAAAAGATATTGATCTAGTCCCCCCTTTTTGTCAATTGTTCTCAAGGCTGCAGTTGTAACTTTCATTTTGAAAAAGGTTCCAAAGGCCTCTGAATAAACTCTCGCTTTCTGAACATTAGGTAACCATCGACGTCGAGTCTTGTTATCGTTTTCTGAAACTCTGTTTCCGTAGTGGATACGCTTTCCGCCGAATAAGCCTCGTTGGGCACGCTTGAACGAATTCGGAAAAACTTCTTTTTGTGCCAGAAGCAGCTGTGTAGTTCGCATTTTTCCTACAATCCGAACAAGTTTCTCTATCAGCTCTCTTCGCTGAAATGCGTTAATTCTAATATTTTCACACACCTGCCTAAGCTCGCTCCTGGAAATCCAGACCTTAATCAAATCTTGACTATTTTAAATGTAATAGGTAGATCCGATGAGTCCAATGTAAATTATTATTATACAAACTGACTGATTATGATCATAGTTTTACGGAAAAAAAAAGGAGCAATAATGCTTTCCTTTGTTGGCACCTTATTATTATCTCTAGGAAGGCACAGTTTGTCTTCCACTTTTCTATAGGGACTATCTAATACATAGTAGTCGCGGTATAACGAACGATCATAGTAGTATTTTTATTACACAATAATAGGACATTTGCAAGATATCTGTTGGATTAATGCTCAGACTTCGCTGAGAAAAAGCTGAATGATGGTGCACTTAGTATTAAGTAAATCAATCGTCCATTAGGAAAAAAACAATAGTATGATTGATCACGTGAGATATTAAAGTGTCATCGACAGACATGATTAGAAAATAAAATATGTACAAATGTCTGTTTATTCTATCCGTCCTTCTTTATTTTCAGTTTCAACTTCAATTTAGTTGCAGCAGAAGAGGATGCAGATGTAGATGCCGTTGCAGGCTGCTCAGCTTTTGGCGATTTCTTCTTTTTATCTACCCTATCCCCTTTGTCTGCTTTATCACCATTTTCAGATTTACTCCGTTTTTTTCGCTTCTTGTTGGCCGGTTGTGAAGTATTCTCGTTCGTCACTGATTCACTAACTCGGCCAACACTGGCATCCGCTTCTGCATTCTTTCGTTTTCCAAGCATACTGTCGGAGGCGACTGATGGAGTAAGATCTGCATCTGGATTTTTCTTTAATTTTATACTCGCCTTTTTAGAGACGACGGAGAGACGAATCTCAGGTTTAGCGTCAGCCCTCTTTGGCTATTACAGAATATATGTAATTATTAGCAGATGAAGTCACAAATAACCGAGTCACGAAAATTGTTGTCCAAATGACAAATTACGAACACACCCTAACTTACCAGTCCCCAGAAAAAAGGTCCCCCATCAACAACTCCGGCAATTCTTCCCACTAAACGTCTAACATATAGGCAAGGATCATTTCTCACCAGGTGGCGAAGATATTCAAGGCCTACATCTGTTTCCCATCCATCCAGCTGCACCAAGGCTTCAATAGCGCCTACACGCACGTCGACGAAATTTCCATATCTACACAAAGTTTGACGTTAGTATTAGTCAAAAATTTCGATCCGTAAAAAAAGGTATACTTACAGCGTGTGCTCAAAGAATTTCTTAATATCTCGTCGAATAACACCGGCTTTCATGAGGTTTGCCTTTGCCTAAATGGTATGATAAAGATATTTAGTTACCGATATAACAAATTTTGCGCTAAGCCTAAGGGACTCTTACCCGGATACATGCAACAGCGATGATATTACGATAAGATGGCCACATATTCCAATCCTTCTGGAGGCATCGCTCGATCTCCGCTAACGCGGCTATCAACCAATGGTTTTCATATTCCAAAAATGTCTCTACGTCTTGATTCCCAAAAATACCTTGATCAAGTGGTATAAATGCATTTGCTAAACTTTCGATTAAAGCCGCTATGTAATAATCATCAGCAAACTGCATCAAAGGAAGTTAGTATAAAATAAAATGTTCATTTTATGTTGAATAACGATCTACATACTCTTGATCCGTCTGCAATGCTGTTCATCTGTAATATAGTACACAAAAACTTGTGAACAATCTCAGGTGTTTCTCCTTTGTCATCGCGAATGAGCGATAGCGCCCAGGGTAGAGACTTTACGAATTTAAGTTAGATGGTTTGTTAAGCAGACATAAAGTGGAAAACAAATAAATATATCACCTTCTTTACGAAATATTCTCTCAAGTCATCAAATTGATTGGGCTTTGGTATGAAGCCATGCTCGCCACTAGATATGCCATGTATACAATAATTCTCTTGGAATGTTCGAATTAACAAACGAATTGCTAATTGTCGCAATTCTTCTCGATCTTTTTTCTCTCTATCCCGTATGTGAGTACCCTATAATAAAGAATATAGAAGTTAGTAAGTCATTAAAACGATAATAGGTCACGTGGATGGAGATGTACCTTTGCGATAGCTACTGCAGCCAGTACTCGTACACGATAAAAGTACCGAGGATCACGCAGTGTTCGCATAAGCGTAGATATGCAAGGTTTCGATGGCAAATTCTCGAGCATTTTCACAGCCTATAAGTATTTGTGGTTATCAAAAAATTTACAGGTAATAGATGCATATTGCATATTGTTGTGAATAGACTACCTCTGCCTGCGCAACGACATCACGATCTTTGACGAGTTGCGTACTCCACATATAATCCACCTGGTCTACAAAATCAAGACTACAAATCCATCCCAGATCTTCATCCAGCCGAATCCATTCGAAATATGCGCTATTTTTATATTAAAGTTAGCAACACTTATGGAAAGCATATACCGTTTTCTTAATTTAAATAGCCCTAACCTCGATGCTGTTTCGTCATCTGCTTCATCCCAATCAACAACACCCCACTCTTGTTTCTCTTCTTCATTCATGGCCAAACCCCACACGCTAATGCCCTCCTCTTGAGTAGGGGCGGAGTTGGGTGCTTGCTGTTTGAATTTCTTTGTAGTTCGTCGTATGCGCTTATATTTCGTATTAAATTTTACCATGTGCTTTTCAGCTTCCGCTTTAATGAAGAGAGTATGCTCGTATGATTTACCGTCTGCTTCATGCACACAGACGACCATGGGCCCCTAAATCGTTAAAATATCATTCATTGAATTATGCATCCACATGCAAATATTCATAATATTACGCATATTCCAATGATATTAGCATCTTACAGTGAATACAGGCGTTGGATTATAAGCGCGCGGACTCTGCGTACTATCTATAACATTCGTATTCTCTTGCTTGACATGAAACTCAACCATCATTTTCTTCCTGTTTACTTGATGAGATATTCGAAATTTAGGACATCCACTCCCGTAAATCCACTGCGTAAAAAAACTTTTGACTTCATCACGTCGTTCAGCACGGATAGCCTTCCTGCACATGTCAAGAAGGCTCTTGGTGCTCATTGATTTGATCTTTAGAACGCTGTCTTTTGCATTAAGAAGCATGTCAGATATTATTCCCAACATTCCTTGCGGGTACCCTCCTCTTATCAGCAGTCGATTCAACATATAAATGACTATCGGTGCTTTCAAAGCCATGAACTTTATCTCGTCCGAGACAAGCGGCAATCTTCTGTCTAGCCGGAAAAGCGGGTCTCTCTGAACATCTTCCTCAACACATCTGTCAATATCCTATTCGTACAGTATTTGCTGATGAGCATTACATTATAAAACGAAAAAAAGTAGATTACCGACAGGTAATTTTTCATACCTCTTTTATTCGCCACCGTGCCTCGTTCTTCCCGAGCAGTACAGTTATGCAAAGTATTGACAAGTATATCGATAATCCTGGCACTAACCAATAGTCGGGCCAACTCTGAGGAACGATATACGCACCAAACCATTGCATGGCGATTGCTTCAACGAGCAGCCGTCGAGTTTCATACGTTTGCTCTGGTATATCCCGAGGATGTAGAATACATGACCGACAAATTATCATTGACGCGACAGAGTTTACAGCCGCATATGAATTTTCGATAAATACAAAATTGAGACAACGGTAGGGAAAGAAGCCTTTTCGTGGAGCGTTTTCCTCAGACGATACAGGTACAGTACAACATTCGCCGAGGAGGAATCTCATAGTCTGTTTAAGTAATTGTAAAAAAAAAAAACGTCAGTACAAGTGTAAGATCAACTCTATTCGAACATTCTGTGCCGCATAAACCAATAACGATAATAGTGTCTGACGCACATCACCATAATAGTTTGTAGAGAACGTCTCTCCCAATAATTGTGCCTTATTCGGCATACAATACCCAAAGATTTCAGGCAATATGGACATTTGATCATCTTTCTCTGCATATTGAAGCTGAAAACGTTCAAATGGACCAATAGCAAATCCTATATTATGGGCTGTTGTTTTGACATCCAAAGTATACTTGACAACCTTTTTCTCGGGATCAGTTTTGTGATCTTCTTCACTGTCGAATGTACCACTACAAAGCACTGTAATCGGATACTGAAGACATAACTTTGGTACGATAAACTCAAAGTGCCATGTTGGCTGCTCCATCAGATCATCCACACACGGTAGCCACAATCTTGTTCCACCGGGCGTTGGTCGATTGATCGTATATACGTGAGGTAATAGATCGCCTTCCGGCGATGTAGCCTCGGCAAACCATATCCCACCTTGTGGGTTGGTTAAGCTGTATTCAATGTAGACACAAAAAGGTCGAAACTCGCCTTCTAGCTTCTAAGGATCACAAATCATTTCGTTGAATGAGACGCAAGTAAAGACATCAATCACAAGACAAGGAAAAAGACAATGATGACCGACTTCGCTCTGGGTCATCTTGGGTTCAGGAAGCTTTATGATCAATTCGCCACCACCGTCATTACGTATTTCGAAATTGGCCTCGATGAGGTTGACTGTCACTCTGTTTATTGCTATTGATGAATTAAATCACTCGCGTATTATTATTTGCGTCTAGAAAATACTGACATATGTTCGCGAATGCTTACTTATTTGTCGGCAATGCAATACTATCGACGGAATTACTTCTCGTAATGGCTTAAAGTACAAAGTCGTTGAACCCTGCGACGCGATTCGCGAGATCAGGTAACAATAGTAATTATCTAAATCCGAAATAATAAAAGACTGGTAAAATCTTTGAAGAAATCTCCAGTAAATACCCGCAAAACTTTGTCGGCAAGTTTTACTTCAACAGACACGTCCTGGCTCAGATTGTGTGATTAAAACCAAGGGTAAGTCTACACACCTGTAGAAAAGTTCAACAGTTAACAACGAAACGGAAAGGCTCCGATACTCATGTTAGAAGGCCTGTAAGAGTAGTGAACTTGCTGACTGGAGTGATTTTGCTTTTCTCCATAGGAAACGAGTTATTATGTTCTTACCAAAACCACAAACATGTCAAAGTTATATGGGCCATCACGTGGTCGTACATAAATTGTCTGATCAACAACAATTTAATAACCTTCCGAACGTCAACGTTAAGGTCACTGAGTAAGTGTAATTTGTAAATTAGAGCTTCGTTTGAAAAAGTTAATCTTAAGGCCAGTATACGAACGTTCAATAATAATGAATCATTCAATGGTAATAGAAAAAGCAGCTCTAGAGGTCCACCTTAATAAAGGACACACAAAATCAATAGAAAATGAAGGCATCAATTCGTGAAACCACCAAATACCAGTTTAAACCGTGAGATATAATGTAAGACATTTGAAGTTATTTAGTAAATTTGCTATCCGTTATGCGAAAGATATTAACATGTTTGGTATTATATATAATTGTAATTATATATTATACCTCAATCGGGACTCTCAGTTCTGCCATTTCCAGTTTTTTAATAACAGAATTTAGAATAGATTAAAAAGCTTAGAGATCCAAAGACAAAGCTAAACAGATTTAATCAGCATGATACATAAACAACAATTGTTAAAACCGAGGTTACAATATCATATGAAGTAATCTATGGTGAAGACAGCGGGATATGTTAACGACGCTTTAATATTGCGGAGAAGTAGTATTTCCTCCATTGCAGAATGAGTGAAGAAAGATGCAATGTGGTGTAATGATTGTGTTAGAGCATATTATTTGGTTATTGGGCAAAGTAAAAATGCAAGAAGCAGAAGCAAACAGTAATACGTTATAGTTATTATGTTCCATAGCGTATTGCAGAAAAACATAACGGCTTGACAGTACGATGCAATTAGAATGTTTGACACATTTTACCATGACCGACTTGATTTAATTCATTTTTAGGATATCATTATATACAGTGGTATGCAAAGAATGACAATTCACAGCATTCTCTGTAGTTTGTAAATAGTTAACTTTTCCACTTCTGGTCCTATTCATGTAATTTAAGATAATAACATGTCTGTCTTTTAGTTTTGTTTATTTATGCGTATGATTTCAACTTTGCGAGTTATTTTACCACAAAATACAACCATTTTTAAAGCAAAGCTTCTGAAATCTGCTCACAGAGAAGATTCCTAAAACTATACTTAATACTGGAATCTCAAAAAACTTAGTAAAACTGGAAATACTAACTTCTTTAGTGAACTGGAAAGATTTTATAGTTGAAGCGTATAAAAATATTCCTGATAGTCTTGTATTAGTAATTGATTTAATATAACCAACGGACAACAATGTGGCAAAAACAATCAATATTGTATTGACTTTAATCTACTGCTTTCAGGTTTTAAAATGCTATGATATAATTTAATTGGTTTGTTCGTTGTAACCTAGAACAATTAAGCAATTGTCATTTTTGCAACCACTATATATATGTTCTGACCCATTTCAGAATTTGACCCACTTCCGAATCGGGTCAACCCATTTCCGAATTCTGAAATGGGTCAACCCACTTCAGAATTGTGTACGTGATGATCAACATACTCATTATATCACTTCATAATTCATTATAATTATGTTAACGATAACAATATACAACTGAACAAGCAAATTTATTTATGAAAGCAAACATAAATAACATAACGATAATATTAATGTTTCTAATAGCTTACGCTTTGTATACTGGTGAATTAGTCATTAACACAGTCAGTATTTGTAAGATGACAGTGAATTCCACATTGCCTATTTGATCTCCGACAAGAACATTTTCGTGTGGAACAATCGGTCTTGCATCTACACCTACTATTACTATTACCAACTGCATTTTGCAATCTAAGTGCCTCAGTTAAAGTTACAATAGTCTCCGGAATGGTTAACAGGTCAGGAAACTCAGCTGAAACGGCTTCCAAGTCAGCTGCATGGTAGCGAATGTTTAATATTCCTGAACTACAACCAAGCTTGTATTGACCTCCCTCTAATACCTCTACCACTTTACATACTAATGATTTCCCTCCCAAACGCTGTCTATCAACCCGTGGAATCTTTACACGAACATAATCACCAGTATTATATTCCTCAATCGAGCGCCTACCTCTCTTAAGCATAACGTTTCTTATTAAGATAACATTTCGTTCTACTTGCTCTCTGGCAAGTTGGCGGACAGTTTCTTGCCTCAGTTGTTGTGCAGCTTCACCCTCTTCAGAATGTTCAGTGGCTACTTCATTATCTCTCAATATAGACCGCTCATCATATTGCCTAATTTTCT